TTTCTTGTAGCTGGGCGTTGGGAGGGAGAAAGGGGTGTCTCTCGTGGCTACAAAGTCCCTTAGCTTTTGTTTGTCTGGGAAAGATTTAATTTCTCTCTCATATCCAAAGGACATTTTTGCTGGATAGAGTATTCTTGGCTGAAGATTTTTATCCTTTAAAGTTTTGAATATGTCATTCCATTCTCTCCTAGCTTGTAAGGTTTCTGCAGAGTAATCCGCTGAAAGTCTGATAGGGGTTCCTTTGTAAGTTATTTTCTCCTGCCTTGCTGCCCTGAGTATTCTTTCTTTGTCATTCATTTTTGACAGTTTCACTACTATATGCCTTGCAGTAGGTCTTTTCACATTGACAAATCTAGGAGATCTGAAAGCTTCCTCCACACACATTTCTCGCTCATACCCTAGATTTGGGAAGTTCTCTGCTATTATTTCTTTGAGCACGCTTTCTGCTCCATTCTCTTTCTCTTCACCTTCTTGAATACCTATAATTCTTATGTTGCATTTCCTCACTGAGTCAGATATTTCTCAGAGACTTCCTTCATTTCTTTTTAGTCTCAGTTCTCTTTCCTCCTCTATCTGGAGCATTTCAACATGTCTATCTTCGATTATGATGATTTGCTCCTCTATGGTGTCCACGTGAGCATTCAGGGAATCCCTATTTTATCTCTTCCACTGTGTCTTTCATCTCTAATATTTCTGATTGAGTCTTCTTTATAGTTTCAATCTCTTTTGTGAAGTAGCTCCTGAACTCGTTGAATTGTTTACCTATATTCTCTTTTACCTCACTGAGTTTTTTGACGATAGCTATTTTGAATTCATTGTCTTTCAGTTTACTTATTTCTGTGTCCTCAGGACTGAATTCTGGGTGCTTGTTTTCTCTCTAGTCTGGAGATTTGATAAATTGCCCGATGCTGGAAGGACGGGTCTTTCCCATTGTGATATTATTCGGTTGCAGTTACAGCCTCTCGCCACTGGACAGGGGTCGAGAGCTGCGTATTCTGAGCCCTACGCCTTCAGCCAAGATGGCACCATGTGGGTCGGGGGAGGGGCAGTTTCTCTTTTGCGCAGACCCAGGTTTCCGATCAGCTCTAGCTGTCTGGTCTCCTGGGGTCTTGGCTTGATGAGATCACCCCTGCACGAAAGCCTTCGCCCCATTAGAGGGCATCCCTCTAGGCTGCAAGGGCCCTGGGAGTCCTGGCGACCCCGTGGATGCGAGACCCCTCCCTGACTCCCTCCCTCACGGAGCCTCCTGCAGCAGTGATCCCAGTCTTTAGGGGAGGGAGTGAAGATCTCTCTTAGCCTGTTCCAGCTCCTCCAAGGGTGCACTCCAGCCTCTCCGCCGTCCATCGTGTGGCTGCCGTGACTCTCTGAGGATTTTTGTGCTTTTAGGGTATTTTCTGTTGGAATATGGTTGCTCACTTTTGTTGTATGTTGGAGGGGAGAGAGTCCTGGGCAAGCTCACTCCGCCATGATGGTGACGTCCAAAAGGTTTTAATTTTTATAAAGTCCAATTTATCTATTTTTCTGTGGCTTTGGTGCTTTTGGTGTCCTAAGAAACCATTCCTTAAATCAAGGTTATAAAGCTTTACACCCATATTTACTTGTAAAAGTTTTACAGTTTTAGCTCTTACATTTAGGTCTTTGACCATTTAGAGTTAATGTTTGTAAATGGTATGAGGTGGGGTGCCACTTCATTCTTTTCCATGTGGAAAAAGTATCCAGTTGTCCCAGTATCATTTGTTGAAAAAAGTACTCTTTCCCCATTGAATAGGAAAGGATTATTATTATTATTTTTTTAACCAACTATCAGTCTCCATGGAACAAGAGGTATTTTAGAGTACGGGACAAAATTGTGTCCATGCTCCCTCCTCTCATCCCATTCATCCCTTTAAGATAATCTTTATCTTAATTATAGTTTAACATTTGATTCATATAAGATGCTACATACATTTAAGTTATAAAATATGATAAAAACAAACACTCTTGTGGAGCTTGTGGATAAATCCACCACCCAGCATAGCACTAAACCATTGTAAATACTATTAGTATGCTTCTGCTCTTTCACAACCCCTGGCCTCCCTCCCACATATATAAAAATGTTCCTTAAAATCAAGAGTCAAGGAAATGCTTTTTATGTAGAGGGGGCAAGGAAAATAAGAGAAACAAGTAAATGATAAAACCCAAATCAATGCCCAAAAAAGCACAGTCTTTTAAAATCTAATTATTGGAGGAGACTGCTATTGGTAACCAAGAGCCAGACTAATTTTAAAACTGGTCTAAAAGGAGAGTGAGGTGTAGGAAAAAAAGACAACTTTTCAACTTTCTAAAGAATCTAGTACACTAAGTGAAATAACACTAAAGTGCTTAAAAGTTATTCTCCCTTGCTATGTTGTTAATGTAATAAGCAGACAATATACTAATACAATTAAACTGAAGGCTTATGGGGGAACTGGGTTGTAAGAGAGAACAGTTTTTATTCACTCTATTCTGAAGTCTCATCCCTATGCCTAGGCTAGCATTTCAAGAGTATCTGATAAAAATGTTACAGAACTGTATGTATCATACAAAAAAAAAAAGGGCCAGACAAATTGGATCTATTAATGTGTTTATCTATGCATGAAAATTTTTTGGAAGAACCCACAAGACATATATAACTGTGGTTACTAGCCTATAGCCATTTCTTTTTTAACCATCAACATGGGTTAACATTTTAATTTGATTACTAGAGGTTTTTGAAGTAAATAAAATTAATTTACTTATCTATATTTATATATAGATAAGTAAATTGATATATATTAATTTATACATATATTAAAATATATATATATATATTTTTTTGGTGAGGAAGACTGGCCCTGAGCTCACATCTGTTGCCAATCTTCCTCTCTTTTCTATGTGGGGCGCCTGTCACAGCATGGCTTCATGAGTGGTGTGTAGGTCCACACCCAGAATCTGAACCCACGAACCCCAGGCCACCGAAGCAGAGCACACGAACTTAACTACTACACCACTAGGTTGGCCCCACAATTTATACACTTTTTAAAAAATTTGTACACAAGCCCCACCTAGGAATCAAAGGTCCATTCACGGAGTCAAGGGAACCAGGAAAGTGTGTCATGAGATGCTCATCATGGGCTTTGGAATCCTGGGATTAAAGAAAAATTTAGCTAAACTGGTCTCTAACAGCAGTTTGACAGATTATTTTAAGAGAAACACAGGAAAGCAATATAATACAGTGGAAAGGCCACAAGCTTTGAAGTCTAGATAATTCAAATCCAGTTTAGTCACTTACCAACTATTTGCCCTTAAGCACATTATTTAGACTCTCTAGGCATTGATTTCCACATCTGTAAAATGAAAGAATTCTCTAGATAGTTTTTCCTCATCTTTATATATACAAGGGTCTCTATTTATTAAAGTTTTAAAAAATTCTAAGGATTTTCCATGTGATAAAAACCATATTTTCAGTAACCAAAGATTGAAAAAAGAACCTGTGGAAATTACAAAGATTTCAGTTTGATAATACCTGAAGTTGACAACAATATGGTAAAAGAGCTTTGGTGGGTACTTATTTACAGCAATCTTTTAGGGCAAAATGACACTGTCTATCAAATTTTAAATGCCTGACCCAGTAATCTCACTTTCTACTGCAGACATGCTACACCGTGGGCACAGATAGAATGCCTGAGAATGCTCACCATAGCACTGTCTGTAATAAAAAAAAAACCTTGAGATTGTAATAAATGTCCAACAATAGAGGAGTAAATGGCTATATCCAAAAATAAGAACACCCTATGTACTTCTAACGGAAATATAAACTGATACAACACTTCCACATGTCCAATCCAGGAAAAACATCAATCAAAATCCTTAAAAATTGTGATGACCTTTGATCCAACAATTTGACATTAGAAATGTATTCTCAGAACTAAGGATGTGAGAAAAGAAATAGAGACAGAGATGTTCACAGTAGCTCTTTAACGTAGCAATATACCCCTCTACAACCTATTGTTAGTAATAGTTAACCAAACAATGGGAAATAGTCATCAAAGATGTTACAGAAAAATATTTACTAAAATGAGAAATATTCACTACATATTAAGGGAAAAAAGCTGGCAAGGCATAATGTAGAGTCTGTATGATCCATTTTTCTAAAAAGTAAACACTACAGATAGCATATAGAAGTATAAAAGTACACATATGTATGTGATAAGAGCTACAAATAGTTATCTCCAGGTAGTGGGACTACGGTTAAAATTTTTTTTCCTTCCTTTTACTTATTTTTACTGTCTACTTTTTCTACAATGCACATATTATTCTTGTATTAATAAAGATATATTTTTAAAAGAAATAGAATAATTAAAAATAAGTCATTTGCAGCAACGCAATGATTCTATGAAAGTGCTTATTTTAGTTATGAATCTTGAGACATAACTTGCCAATAACTCATCTTCAGAGTGTAACACAGTCACCAAAATGAAATAGAAACCAATACTATATAGACTCTCTAGTCAATATATGCACTAAAAACACTACTCTTTCACCATTTCCTTCAGGTAGACAACAACTCTATCCTATCTTCCATACCCAGCAACAAATAACCAAATGAAGCTGCCAGAGAAACTAGAAAACAAACCTGCCCTGGGAGAATTCTTACCAAACTAGTGGGGCTCTTCTAATCAAAAAAACAAAAACAATCAAACAAAAAAACCCCAGATCTCTGTAAGTTAGCAATTTGGGGTTTATATTTTCTCTCCTAGAAATTATCAGCAGCAAGAATCAGCTGCCCTCTGACTTGAAATACCAGCATAAGTTCAGCACTAACTCAGAAGGAACAGCACCACCTACTGAATCACTTCCATATCAGAGAATCATTACTAAATTCACTCCAACTAGCAGAACCTCATCAGTACCTAAAACTAAACAGGTACAGCTATTCCTAAAACCTTTTTTATTCTCTCACCCCTCTAGCCCAGGAAGAATTTCCCAATAATCCCACTTACCATTGTTGTTGGCAATTAGTGTGACAAGAGTCTTCTTTGTACTGTCGCTGTTCTGTGCCCCGCTGCTACTAACGGTGGTGGATGTAGAGAGGTGCCCAGCAACAGAAGCATGGGCAGCGATGGGCACTGGAGCCGAGACTGGCTGCTGGCTCACAGAAACTGTGGGGAAGGGGAGGCACAGTCACTCGGAGACAGGGACAGATGACACTAACGGATACTGTCCTAATCCTCCCTTTTCATCTTGCTGTAGGCCTCTACAGCCAAAATGTTTCCTGCTTTATTTGTAAATCCAACTGTTCATCTGATTTTTCCTCCTACTTGTCCCTCACTCCACCAATGAGACACCATGCCTTCTTCTTTGTCTCACATTTCCTGGTTAAGTTAGATCACAAGCTCACTGAACCGGGATTTTAATGCTTTGCTTATATAGCACAAGCAAACCTCTAGACTCAAAGGTTTATTATCACCACTACTGGTATTCAGAACCATGCACAGCAAGCCATCCACAAGACCCTGGACTGTGTCCTATTTCAGTCCAAACTAATGCCATTTTCAGATCTCAAGGTAGGGAAGATAAAAATAAAGAGAGCAACAGATACAATTTAGGGGAGAAAAGAACTACTATTCACTTTCTAAATTCAGGGTGATCTAGAATTTGACCCTGCAACATCACTTTTTTGAAAGAGAAGCTAACAAGCCTAAGTTTGTAAACTGTCCATGAAGGCAAACACAAAGCAAATTCTCCTCAACTCACAAAGGAATCCAAGTTGAAGTAAAACAAACAAAGAAAAAAAAACAAGACTACGGGAACCTGTTTTTGACTGGGTACGTAAATGACCACCACCACTTTGTATTCTCATCCACACATCATTTGCTAGGAGGATTGCTAGATGTTTGATAAACACTGGTTAACCCAACTCTCAATGTTTTAAATGAATTAACTATAGTGCTTCTAGGTTTATCTATAAGGAAACTGAGGCATTTACAGTCTTCGGCATGGGAAAAAAAGGTAGCACCAGTGCCACAGGAGGCATCTCTGGATTCTTTCTCCACCTCACACTTTCTCAACAAAAACGCCATTCAGCTGAGTCAATTTAAACAACAAGCTTAGATTAAAAGAATTTCTGTTACCTGTAGTAGTTTTATCCACTGAATTATAATCTTCAACTACAGAATCCTCAATGACATCACTGATTTTCTGCCATGGCTCCAGCTCCTCCTCCTCACATTCCATAAACAGGTCGGTGTCCGCCATGCTACAAGAAAAAAGATTAAATAATACTGACCTCACAATGGGAGACAGAGTTTTACACAAAATAGAGTGTCAGATTCTCGAATCTATTGGTGACCCACTCCCTTGTTCTCCCTCTACCATTTCCCCTAACCTCTCCCCAATTTCAAGGTTACAGAATTATAACTTTTATTCTTGAAAAAAAATTATTGTGGAAGAGTCCACAGCAAGTTATTTAATAATTAGGATTATAGAAATTTAATCTATAACACCTAGCACTGGGATTAGACTAATCATCCAAGTGCAGGGTCAGATCCTGTCTTTCTTTAAAATTGATATTTTGTTCATTTTGAAGTTTTTTGCATTAATATTGATCTTTTTAAAATTATACACTAAAATACTATAAAATACTATGTATCTTGATTACTGAACCTTTTTACAATCCCTTAAATTTTGCACCCAAGATGAGAACCTCCCTTGTAACACTCTAGTCCTGGCCCTACTACTACCTTGTACTCCACCATGATTTTGGAGTCAGCCTTTAATTTGAAAACATTGCCTAAAATTACATGCTACTTTTAAAAAACAAAGCCTACATCTTTGCAGCGCAAACAAAGAGCTATTTCTAGCTATTCTGCCCTCCAATATTAGTTGACTAAAGGTCAACTTGTCTTGGAAGGGAAGTAGCATTACTGCTCAATGCTCAGACAAAGCCTTTAACGCACAGGTTCTCAGTGCTCTTAGTATCCCAGAAATTTTTTCACCTCACCTCCAAGCCAAAAACAAAACAAAACAACCAACCTAACTAACTGTTCTGCTTAATTAGGTACATACAATTTGATAATATTACTTTGGGAGGTGCCCAACAGATGGCGTTGTCCCCTTGAAAATTTAAAATATCCTAGCAATGCCCCAGTGAGTTACCTATAGCCAAGTGCCCACAGTTTTAATGGGTAAAGTGCTTAACTTGCTTCTAATTGGTCTCTAATGTCCTATTTTAATTATCCGTCTTCCCAAACCAAAACCACAAAGGGGAAAGTTATGAGCAAGGTAAGAAAAAGATCTAAGATATCAACTTACATTTTCTTAATTTCATATCTAATATATATATACAAAAGACAATGCTAGCCAGAAACTGAATCAAAAAGAAGCCAAATCCATATCACAGGCATTCTTTGAGACAAGACTACGCAACACACACTTCTGGATTTTCCAGTCTAGTTCCACTGAAAAAGGTAACATTCCAAATAGCTTTTTCTTCTAACTTATTAATTTTATACGATTGTTCTTTGCTACATAACTTTCTTAGAGCCCACAGCTAACAGATAATTAATGCATAAATATCAAACACCCAGCAGAATGAACATAAACTGTGGATGATAACCTCTACAGATGGTTTCCAAGGGCCTTCTTTCAGCTCTGACCAGCTGCAAGCAAACTCTCCACGCATATGCTGAGCAATCTGTAGAAAATTCTCCTTCTGAATAAGTAAAGCTATCTGAATGCAAACTGGTTTCCAATGTTATGCCTGTGGGTATTTTAATAGCAAATCCAGAAGGCTCATCATTTACCTCAACTATTTAAACTACCTTAAGAAAGTGAGTTTATGTTTTACGTTGTGAAACAATTAATTTTAATAACAATATTGAAAGTTTCTTCTTTCTGACCAAAGTCAAATCATGTTATTCCTCCCATGAAAAAGGTACTCTTAAGAACCAGAGCGGGAAGGGTAGATGTGAAAAGATGGCAAAGAAGGATGTTTGTTACCTACTTTTTAAGAAAAGAGAAAGAAAAATAACTCCTCAGGTATACGCTCTGCCAAGACAACCAATGTAAATCAAAAGATTCAAAATGAAAACAAAATTCAACTTAGAAAACATTTTTCAAGTTTTTTATAGCATAGAAGATGGAGTTAACCACTAAGGCTTGTCAACCCAGAAAATAAGACATCTGCTGACTGAGCATATTTTACAGGCTTGCACCCAAAACACCTCTGAAAGACAGTGAAATAAAATTTTTCAGTTAGTCCTCAATTCTGACCCAGACTCTGTTATCTCAGAATGTGATCACTAATTTTACATTCTGATCTATAGCTCAGGGCCAAAAAATTAACTCTGCTGAAAGCAAGGGCCATGCCACAATAGATACATCAACCTAAATTAAGCATTTCCCAAATTTTAAAAACGAAAAATAAAAATTTAGCATCCTTCTTGTAGTTTCCCAGTTATCAAAAAGAAGTCTTCACTAATATGAAAAAATGCTATATTTACTGTTTTTACCAAAATGTTCAACAAAGAAACCTCACCATTCTCTGTGCTGTCTTTCAAGTCATCCATGGCATACAGTCTCCTTTCAACTATTTCTGATCAAAGACGACAGGAATTGCTAAATATGCAGTACTAAAATGTACAGATCTTCCCAAACTATCGTTCTACTCATGTTTAACCTCTTTCCACACCAAACCTTTCACTTGATTTCTCACAAGGAAGGAAAAAACCTGGAATTATTTTCTCTCTTCCCTATTTTGTTATAAAAGATAAATGTACTCATAGACTTGAACACTTCTCACACCAAAAAACAAACACGTTGAAATTCAATCCTTACTAAATTAAGCAACATTTTCATTTCTTCTAAAATACTGCCAGGTAAAAATGTGGATTTCAGAAATCAAAGGCCAGCACAAAGGGAACAGAGTGCTACATCAAGGGGAAAACTTGGATGGGCAGTAAATTTGAAAACCATACTGTACACAAGTGAAGGGGCAAACTTTGATCATATCACAGCTATGAGTCTCTGAATCAAGACTGCAGTGACTCCTTTTCCACTATTTTTAAAATGAGTTACAAATTTTAATGAAATACAGAAACAGACATGCATCCATCACCCAGCTTCAAAAATTATCAATTCAAAGCCGACCTTGATTCACCTACATCCCCTCTCCTTCATACTATTTTGAAGCAAATCTGTAATAACATATTCATAAATATTTTAGTATGCAGCTCTAAAAAATAAGGACTTGAAAAGATCAAATACCTGGCAACTAGATTTTTGGTGGTGAATACGATGTAGCCTATACAGACGTCAAAATATAATGATGTACACCTGAAACTTATATAACGTTATAAACCAATGTTACCCCAATTAAATAAATACATAGAGAAAAAGAATGAAGTACTGATATATGCTATAACATGGATAAACCTTGAAAACAAGATTAGTATGTTAAATGAAAGCAGCCAGTCATAAAAAATTGCATATTATGAGATTCCATTTATATGGAAATGCCCACAATAGGCCAATCCTTAGAGACAGAAAGTAGACTAGTGCTTGCCAGGGGCTGGGAGGAGAGGGGAATGGGGAGCGACTGCTAGTGGCTATGGGGTTTCTTTTTAGGATGATGAAAAAGTTATAAAGTCAAATGTGGTAATGGTCGCACAAGTCCGTGAAAATACTAAAACTCGCTGAATTGTATACTTTAAAGGGTGAATCTTACAGTATGTGGATATTTCAATAAAGCCGTCATAAAAAACAAACAAAAAGATTATATACCAAAAGAAATCATAGTACCACTACATGCCTAAAAAATTGATAGTCCCTTAGTATCTAGTGAACATTCAAATTTCAAATTCTCTCAAATAAATGTTAATGTTAATTTGAATTAGGATCCAAATAAAGTCCACATGCCATAATTATTTGGTAAGTTTCTTAAGTCTCTCTTTTTTTTAATAAGTAATTTTTTAATTTATTTATTTAACTTTTTGAAAAATTTTTTGAGGAAGATTAGCCCTGAGCTAACATCTGCGGCCAATCCTCCTCTTTTTGCTGAGGAAGACTGGCCCTGAGCTAACACCCCTGCCCCTCTTCCTCTACTTTTCCTATGTGGTATGCCTGCCACAACATGGCTTGACAAGCGGTGTGGAGGTCCACACCTGGGATCCAACCTGGTGAACCCCGACGTGGCGAACGCCAGGCTGCAGAAGCAGAAAGTGCGAACTTAACCCCTGCGCCACTGGGCTGGCCCCTTAAGTCTCTTTTAATTTATAGGCCTCCCTTCATCTTTTTTTTTTCCCTTGCAATTTATTTGTTGAAGAACCAGGTCACCTCCTGTAGTTTCTACAGTTTGGATATAGTTGATCACATACACATAGCATTTAATATATGCCTCTGTCCTCAGTACATCCTGAAATTGATAGGTGGATCTACATGCATGATTAGATACATGTTTAACTTTTTTCCCCCTAAGACTACCCACAACGGTGATGTACTCCTCCATCAGGAGGTACACTCCGTGCCTAGATCTAGTCATTCTAAATCTATCATTCCTTCCTCATTTATTAAATAGAACATTTCTATTAAAAAAAATATTATTTGGGGCCGGCCCCATGGCTGAGTGGTTAAGTTTGCATGCTCCGCTTTCGCAGCCCAGGTTTCGCCCATTCGGATCCTGGGCACGCACAGGACACCGCTCATCAGGCCATGCTGAGGCGGCATTCCCCATAGCACAGCCAGAGGCACTCACAACTAGAATATACAACTATGTACTGGGGGCTCTGGGGAGAAGAAGGAAAAAAAAAAGACTGACAACAGATGTTAGCTCAGGGCCAATCTTAAAAAAAAACCAAACAAACAAATACTATTTGGTTACTTAGTAGAGCAGTTCATATAGTAAAAGTCTTGATTTTTCCTATCTTGCTTCTTTTTCCTTTTATTTACCAGTTTTCAAAATGATTCGTTTTGGTGGCATTTCCCCAAAGTGACTAATAAGCTTGTTCTTTACTGTTATGTCACAGATTTAAATGTATTTGATGTGCTGTAATCCACTGCGGTTATCTTTATTGATACTGAAAGCATCCTATTTTGGCCAGTGGGAACTACTTCAGTAGGCTGCTGAGACCTTCTGACACAACTCTTAGCAGTGTTTGATAAGGTTCTTGCTATCTGACAGATAAGATGTTCCAGGCTCATCTCATACAGTTCCTGCCCAAGAGCCAGAATCAGCCACTTCTTCAAGGAGCCCTGATTCCTTTTGGGAGGGAATGATATTCCAAGACCAGAGTCTAGATGCTAAGGGGCTTTCCGCTCATTTTAAATATAAAATTATCTCTATATCAACCCCCAACCATTATTAGTCAGCTATCTTTAATTTTGCCGCTACGTCATCTGGCAGAAAAATTCCACATCCACAAATAATATTTGTCTTAGAAACTTAAAACAAAATCCTATTTTCTCCTCAAATTCTTGAGATGTTTCAGTCTTGTATTTATCAAACAATTCTCATTTCTTCCACTCCTACTCTATGCCCCCTGTATGTAGTCCCTTTCCCTTCCCCTAACAAGATGCCTGGATCATTTTCCCGAGTGGCAGAATACACATATAGTTAAAAATTTTTAAGGACAACCAAAGGTTAACAAACAGGACATGTTTAGCAAGTAACTATTTTTTTAAAGACTGCCTTTTTTTGAATGCCAAGATACAGACAGATCACCTCAAAGATATCAAACAAATTTCTCAACTATTCGTAACAAAATGTTTATCCATAGCACATAGCTAATAAGGTTCTTTCCAAGCAAACGGCGGGGGGGGGGGGGGGGGGGGGGGGGTCAGATAAATGAAAAGGTTACACTTTGACTTACAAATGAACAGCTCATTTCTACCTTCAACAGAATTTCCAATAGAGCTAAAAAAATTTCATCATATCCCAGTGTTCTCCAACATATACCAGGCAGAGCCCATGCTGTGCAGCATACCTGCAGAAGGGCCTTGGGTTCAACAGCTATAGGTAGGTTACATAAAGGGAAACCTAGATCACAAAGGACATCATCTTTACACATGCCAGTGGATTTTCAGTGATACTTAAAGGGAGATAATTTGCCCCCCAGAAGACATGCAGCAATGTCTGGAGACATTTTTGGTAGTCACAACTAGGGATGGAGTTGGGGAGGAGTGCTAACATCTGTCTAGTGGGTAGTGGCCTGGGGTACTTAAACATCCTACAATGCACAGGACAGTCAGGGACTTATCTGGCCCAAAGTGTAAAGAGTGCCAACATTGAGAAACCATAATCAAACTGAATCCATGTTCTGAAGGGAAAAATGAAAAAAAAAATCATCCCACATTCTACGCATGAAGAATTATCATTTCTTTTTAAAATATTTATCTTCTCTGCAACAGAGATGAGTAGAACAGGTTCCTGTGAATTGCTCAAATGATTACATCTTACACAGTAAAAACATTTTTTAAAACTAATATACATCTAGTTTGTTTTACCCTATAATCATCTACCTGTGAAACTTGCCCAAGTATATAATTTCTCCTCATACAACTGGAGCGTCATGATGATAATCCTCTAAAATTAGGGTTACTATCAGTATTTGTTATTATCAGTATTGACTGGTAAGTAATTTTTGTGAAAACAATTTCCCAAAGTCCTTTAATCTAATCTCCATTTCTAAAATTTCTGGTTGTGACTCCTTTACAATTCCTTTATGGGTTGGTTTGCTAAATATATCAAGTCTTCTTGCCTCTTCAACTTCTGAATACTATTCTCAGAGGGCAGTGAGTCAAAATGACATGACGCAAATCTATTTCTGTATTCTTTCTCAAAGTATTATTGTAATGCTTGAACTTAAAGATACAGAAGTAGCTCTATATCTCAAAAGCAAAGGTTATGACAGTAACAAGTTTAAATAGAAAAATGTTAGCCAATAATCCAAACTCTGCCTGTCATCAGCTGTTTGGTGTGTGGCTTGTTCTTTTGTTAAAAAAAACAACAACAAGAAAAGCCATTGACTATAATGTTTAACCTAAATCAAACCAAGCATTTAAATTTAACTTCCAGTTCATAGGAAATACAGCAATAGGAGACTAAGTTAAGTAGCACCACAAGAAAATAATGGGATAAATCCAGAAGGTGGGACACTCTACAAGAAAATAATCAAATATAGAATATGGAACATTCTATAAAACTACTAACATGGTCTCTTTAAAAAGACATAACAAAATGCAACATGTGAACCTTTACTGGATTCTGCTTCATAAAAAAGATATAAATGACATTTTGGAGACAACTGAAACATCTGAATATAGACTAGATACTAGATGATACTGGGGAATTATTTTTAATTTCCTTAGAAAGGATAGTGGTATTAGAGTTACAGTGGAGAATGTATTTATTCTTAGCAAACACATGAAATATTTAGTGGAAATGTCATGACTGTGTCTTTCAAACAGTTCAGCAAATACATAAATATTTTGTTTTCTTATAGACATCAAATATACCAACATGTTAAAAATCATTGTGTCTAGGTGGTGGGTTCATTCTAGGTACTCCCTGAAGTATTTTTTCATCTTTTTACATGCATGGAATTTTCTTAATAAAAACTTGGGTGGGGATCAGATGGATAAGGTCTGAGGATCTAATGTAAAACACGATGACTATAGTTGATAACACTGTATCGTAAACTGAAAGCGGCTGAGAGCAGTTCTAATCACCACCACCCCCTGCCCGCCCCACACAAAAAGATAAGTATGTGAGGTGATGGATGTGTTAACTAGATGGGAGGGATCCTTTCACAACGCTATGTATATGAAGTCACCATGAGGTACTCTTTAAATATCTTACCATTTCATATGTCAATTATACCTCAATAATGCTGAAATTGAAAAAAAGAAAATGAAAAAAGAAAAAAAGTTGAGGGGAGGGAACTACCTACTCATATTTTGGTTGTGATATTCTGCCATTTACTAAATCAAACTGGTAGTCTTGTTGGTTGAATTTTCTGTTAACTTGTTCTTATTTCTATGAGCAATTTTCACATAAATTGTATAAATACATTTTTAAAGATGTAGCATAATAATTAAATAATATAGAAAAAAAGATATAAATCTAAGGTGGGATATACATAGGCTACCAAGGAGGTACTGTGAGACAACATGAACATTGCCATCTTGCATTAATGCAATCCAATATTTGACATCTTGGTAACCTGGTATCTGTATTTTATAGTAGTAATTGTACCATAACATGAGTTTTGTGTACTTGGTCAGCTGTACTCAACACTGCAGCTCACACAGGACCATTAGCAATGCCCATAGTCTAAGTCTTTGGCAATGATCTTTCCATCCATAATACGGGTGTACCAGATATCTATCTTTCTGGGGAGGAGTGGATTGTATCTTAAATGCTGGGAAATAAGCCAAATCAAGTCTACTTTATACTCAGGGCCTACATAATCAGCTAATCATTAAAAGCCTACATAATCGAAAAGGCAAGATACAAAGAGACTCTTTACAAACAATGTTATTTAAAAGCAGCAGAGGGCCAGCCCGGTGGCACAGCGGTTAAGTGCACACGTTCCACTTCAGCAGCCCGGGGTTCGCCAGTTCGGATCCCGGGTATGCACATGGCACCGCTTAGCACGCCATGCTGTGGCAGGCGTCCCACGTATAAAGTAGAGGAAGATGGGCACGGATGTTAGCTCAGGGCCAGTGTTCCTCAGCTAAAAGAGGAGGATTGGCAGATGTTAGCTCAGGGCTAATCTTCCTCAAAAAAAAATAATAATAATTAAAAAATTAATAAAAAATAAAAGCAGCAGAAAGAATCTTGCAGATACACCTGTCAATCCACTTTTGAGGTATTTAACGGGCAGCAAATGTTTACCTATCTTCATCCCAAACAAGATTAGGAAAACATCTGTTTTGTACCAAAACTCTCCAGACAAATTTGGCTCCTGAAGCTTTGAATTCCTTTAATTTGTCTAGTTCTTTCATAGCCATAAGTAAATTCCA